AATTTGACTTTCCAGAGTTAGAGATTAATTTCTGCTTTTATATCTGACCTAGTATAAATCTGGGAAGTCTCCCTTTCTAAAGGAAGTGCTGCCTAAATTTTTACTAATTCAGAGAGTTAGACAAAATTTGACTTTCCAGAGTTAGAGATTAATTTCTGCTTTCATATCTGACTTAGTATAAATCTGGGAAGTATCCCTTTCTAAAGGAAGTGCTACCCAAATTTCTACTAATTCAAAGAGTTAGATAGAATTTGACTTTCCAGGAGTTAGAGATTATTTCTGCTCCCATATCTGGGCTTATATAAATTATGAAAAGACATTTTTCCTATGGGAAGCGCTGCCAATTTTTTTTTAGTTTAAAGAAGATAGATTATATTTTGATAGGAGATTTAGGCGATCCACCCAGAATAGGGGAGATTTTTGCAGTTGGTCTACCTTTGGCTTAAGCACTGACTTAAAAGTAGACTTAGGTTTAACTTATAAGGAGGTTTTGAGTAAGGATGTATTATGGAGTTGTATTCTGCATACACTTATGATCTTAGCTTGGGGATTGGTCTGCCGTGTGTTACAGGTCCTTTTGATCATTTGATCAAAGTTCAGGGATAGATCCAGCTTGATCCCTTGAGGATCACTTACTGTTATCACTGATAACAGGTCGGTTGTCGATTCGTCGGTCTACGACTCAATTTCAACTCTCCCTCTATACTCAACCTAAGAGGCTTTCGTTCTTGTGATTTCGTTGTTTTATTAAGGTTTCACCCGGACTTTTATTGAATGGCCATTTGACAAAGGTGCTGAGTATTTAATTAAGATTGGTTGGACAGGAGGTTTTGGGGCTTGCATGGCTAAAGCAAGGGGTATGAATGTCGAAGGTGGTTGGGGTTGACTCCGTGTAGTGTGTGGGCTGTTGATTTGGTTTGTTGATGTGATGGCAGGTATGTGTTGTGAATCAGATTCTGGATTTGGTTGCCTGCGATCACACATATACGTATTATCGTGAGAGACCCCAGTGAGACCATGAAAAATGATCGTCACATATTAAACTCTTATATATGTATACATGGGTATACTTGGGATGAATGTTTGCATGGGTTGAAGAGCCCCCACATTGAAGCCCACTCAGAAGCTGAGACTGAGGGACTTAGGGGAGGTCTCTCCTTTTATTCTTGTCTCTTGCTTTTTTATGATTTTCTTAGTCGGACGTTTGGTCCTGGGCCGGAATTCGAGATCCTTGTCCAGGACATCCCAAGCCCTAGGCTCTGCAGGGGAGGGGTTTTCTCTCGCGAAGAGCCTATTTGAATTGCCTATCGAGACACTCAGGTCGAGAGCCTAAGGCGCAGTGGCGGTTGCACGACTATTCCTTCAGCCGTGCAATGTCGTGAAGGGGTAGGCCCTCACGACACTTCAAGTCTGACACTTGAGTGTCATAAGCGGTACTCGGATCCACGAGGGACCGCTTGATTATGGGCACTAGATAGTACGCCATCGTTGCGACTGCTTGTGTACGCCTGCATTGCAAGTCGATGTGAGTATGCCCTGCGTCCGCGCGGTTTTATACTAAGTTCAGCGCGCGACGCCTATCCGATTTCCGCACTGGAAAGTTATGGGTTGGCTACCGAGGGGCTAGGAGCGTTGTCGCGTTGTTGGTATTGTGTCGTTTCCTATATATGTTGTTTTGTGTGTATGAGTGTTCGTAAAGTGGAGTGCGCGTGGTGTGTGGGATGCGTCCTAGTCGACCGACGATGAATCGCTCTTGGGACCTCAGCCCCCCCAAGATGTCGGTTCGCGTGCGGGTCCGATAGAGGCGTATTACCGCGCGTACCCCCTATGCTACAGCGAACGAGAAACACCCTCGGCTGGTCCACCTCTGCGATTGCAACTGATTAGCTTTCGTACTGTGGACTGGTAGCTCGGCGGGGATACGCCCACCGAAGGGAGGTGACAGCTCTCGTAAGGTGTACGTAAGTCGTGCCTCGCGTAGGCCCTATCCTGTCGTAGGGGCTCACGAGAGGTATGGCTGGCGCACCCAGCCGGAGCGGCTTGTGGAAGCTCCATGTATATTGCGACGAAGGGTTCTCAAAACCAACTCCTGCGTGACGCGGCCGGGAGGGTCCCGCGCTGCCCCCGCGCGGTGCCGGACCGATGCGCCTGACAACGCGGGGGAGTAGATCGACGTGGACGACGACGTCGAGGAGGTTGCACGGGCGGGGTCGTCAGGGAGGGAGCGAGGGAAGGGCATTGTCAGCGAGCCGGGGGGGCATCAGGGCCAGTACTTTGCGTCGGCGCACGTGTCGGCTCGTACACCGGCAGGTGCGGATACGGCTGAGGCGGGTGCGTCTGCGGGGAAGAGGAAGGAGAGAGAGGAGGGGGACAGACCGACGGCAGCAGCCACAACAAAGAAGAGGATGAGACAGAAGACAATCACGGAGTCATTCACTTCAAAGTGGCAGATGGAGTTCAAGAAGAAGTGGTTGCGGTTTGTGTACAGTCAGCGCCTGGCGTTCAGCGTCTTCCGGAGCGAGCCATGGTTGGACGTCGTCCGGCACTTCAGGGACTTGCCGGGGCCAGTGAAGGTGTTGTGGCCTTCAGAGAATGAGATCGCGGACAAAGAGACCATTGTCCACACGGCGGACGATGTGGGAGCTGATCTCGCGGAGGTCAGGGCTCCTTTCTATGTCACGGGGGCCACCATTATGTCAGACGGAAGGAAGTCACGCGATGCTAGACCCATCGTTAACTTCCTTGCCGGCGGGTCGTGTGGGGTGATGCTCGTCCGGACGATGAACAGGGAGGGTGAGCGGGATCGGGCGCCTGATGTGTTGGTGCGCTGGAACAAGGTGTTCGATGACTTCTCCCCCAAGTGGGTGAACGCCATCTGCACCGACTCCGCCTCGGCGTACGTTGCCTCGGCGTACATCGCCGCGGCGAACATGCTCCAGGGGCCCCAGCAGAGGCCGGAGCAGCGACGGATCACGTGGCTCCCATGCGCAGTGCATGTCTGCAACAAGATGTTGTCAGACATTGGCTGTTCGGGCCTGTGGTCCAAGGACATCATCGTGAGGGGGAGAGCGGTGGTGCGCTTCATTAAGGAGCACGACGCCGCTCTCCATATCTTCCGGGGGGAGAGCAGTCAGATGGGCCTCATCTATCCTTGCGAGACACGTTTCGCATCCGTGTTCGCGATGGTGGAGCATTTGCTGGCAGTGAGGTCAGCTTTGGAGAGGACGGTGGATGGTGATACTTGGGGTATGGTCCCTTGGGACCATTCCGTTCGTCAGTTGGCTAGGTGGGTCAGGTGGCAGGTGCGACATGGCAGTTGGTGGGATTCCATGGGCATCTTGTTCCGAATCATGGAGCCTGTGTACGACCTGCTGCGCAGGTTGGACCGTAGAGGGCTGCACATGTCGCGGGTGGTTGAGTGGACACAGGATCTGGCCCGCCAGGTAGCAGAGGAGGTTTGTGCACTCCCGGGAGATCTTGCACACTACATTGTGCAGAGGGTGCAGGCTCGATGCGCTCACATGCTGGAGCCGGCGCACGTCGCTGCTCACCTTCTTTGTCCCAGCCGGCGGGACTTGCGGTACTTCGAGGGCGTGGTCAGCGACTACGACGCGAGCTTGGTGAGGGAGGCGGAGACTTACATCTTGTCGCAGATAGGGTTCACTGTGGCGAACCGCGACTATGAGACCGCGTGTGCACAGTTGCGCGACTTCTATACACGGAGGGGGGCGATTGATTGGGGGGGGAGAGATAGGGATATAGATGCACAGAGATGCAGTGGCGATGCGGAGACGTATGAGTCCGGGTGTTGGTGGTCGAGGTACGGGCAGTGCGCCCCGCAGTTGCAGGTTATCGCTCTTCGTGTGATGTACATGTGGACGTGCTCCTCTCCTGCGGAGAGGAATTGGGCCGTCCACGAGGGTGTACAAACGAAGAAGCGTAACCGGCTTGAGTTCGAGAAGGTCGCGAAGTTGGTTGAGATCTCAGCCAACGTCCGCCTTCTCTCTCATCAGCGGGCAGGCCGCGGGTTCGCGCTGCCGTGGACTCTAGATGAGTCGTTGTTGGACGTGGAGAGAGGTATCGGGATTCGCCCCTCGTGGAAGGGGACGGACGAGAGCAGGACGCGGGAGGAGGTCGAGGATCAGAGACGTTCATGGCAGCGAGACCCATGTGGATCCAGAGCTCCTCCAGGTGATGTGGGCGATGTTTTTGGGACTCAAGCCGCCACATTGCACCCGTACCCTCGAGACGACAGTGATTCCGAGGGTCACGAGTACGAGGACGAGCCGGCGGGCCTCGCTAGCGCCACTCCTGCGGCGGATGAGCGTGATGAGTGGAGTGACCCTGAGGACATCTGTAGACGGAGTGGCGGAGATGACCTTTTCGTTCGAGTTGATTTGGAGGAGGAGTCTGGGGGTCGTCATGGGAGCCCTTTAGAGCGTCCAGTGCCCCGCTTCCTGCTGAGCGGGAGACAGATCCTGGGTCTGCACCTTCGAGGGGTGCATAGTCGGGGATTGGCCATCGTCCTCTGGGTCGCTTTGGCACGACATCATCCTCCGCTCTTCCCACTTCGACGAAGCAGCTTCATCGACAGCCAGCCGGTGCAGATCGATTGCAGAGATTGGTGAGGGGCCCGAGACAGCGATTGGAGGACAGATTGGAGGGCGGTCCTATGCCAGTGCAGGGTGACGACGGAGACAGACAGGGGTTGGTTGGTGGAGATGGTGGTGCGCTGGCCGGAGGTGGAGGCGGTGCCGAGGTTGATGCGGCGGTTGAGGGGATACCGATGGGCGGCGGTGGCGGTTTCAACGAGTTTGGCGATATGGGTATGCCCCCGAGAGAAAGTGTGGGTCTGACCCGAGGAGAGAGCGAGTCCCGTGGGGACATCAGTGTGGGTATGCAGGACTTACTGGGACAGATCGGCTTTGCGGACCCGAGTAGTTTCTCCCGTGCCATGCACGCAGAGGTGATGTTGGGGGCAGAGGGGGATGAGGACCGGACACCCCTTGGAGAGACATCTGCAGAGAGGCTGGATAGGCTTGATAGTCGTCGAGCGTGCCTCAAGGCACAGAGGGACCCCAGGACGCAAGAGCTCGCCCGTCTTGCGGCCAAGGACTGACAAAGGCAACTGGGGACATATACGCCGACGTCTGTTGACGTGGGGCCAGCTGCCCACACGGATACTCCGGCAGAGGTTCACGACACGACGCCGCGGGAGGCGACTTCGGCAGAGGTTTCGAGTACCGGAGTAGATGTTCAGCAGGGAACGCACGAGAGCGGGTTGGCACCGACAGAGGAGCCACGTTCGGAGTCGGCGCAGCCTCCTGCCGTGCAACTGAGGCCAGAGGAGACATTGCAGGAGGTCGCGGGCGTGCCTCTGCCCGCGGGTTCAGTTGAGGGTGCCGTGCATATGTCCCCGGGTCTGGAGGTCATACAAACGGGGCATTCAGTGGGCGTTGATGATATTCGCCCATCGGCACAGGCGGAGGGGATAGCGCCGACCACGGGGGGGGACGGGGCCGTAGCGGGGGCCGTTGGTGCTGGTGGGTGGGGGGTGCCGTCCGCGGCCGATCTGATTTTCGCGTCCGGCGGGGGAGACCCCGCACAGGTGGACAGGCGTGACGCGGACGGACAGGAGATGCCACAGACTTTGGTGGTTCGCACTGTTGTGGGGCCAGTGGTGCCACATCAGGCACCATTTTTTGAGGGTTATAGGCGTTCTGCACATGGCAGTGACCCGGTCGAGGAGCGAAGTGTAGGCAGGGGCGCGTGCATACCCCCGGTCCCTACTTTTGCGCCGTCACGGACGAGGCCGGAGATTAGGCATGTGGCTACGCCTCGAGGCAGCCTCCCTTTTGGTTTTATGACCGCTGAGGAGTTTGAGGACCACGGCAGGAGGGATTTGACGGAGATTGACCAGCGCATTTTGAGGTCAGTCCCGGAGGAGGGGAAGCTGCCTCACGTGCAGGACTTATCTTGGGGGTCAGCCAGCCCCAGCTTACCTTCTGGGTGTTCCATCGCAGCGCCATCTGGCGGCGCTGCAGGCGGCTTACCTTCTGGAGGTTCCGTCGCAGCGGCATCGGGCGGGGCCGCAGGGGACTTACCTTCTGGAGGTTCGGTCGCAGCGCCATCTGGAGGCGCCGCAGGCCCTTCGTCACCCTTGAGCGCAGCTCCGAGGGAGTGCGGCAGCGTCACCCCGAGGTCGGTTGCCCGTAGACGGAGAGACACTACCCAGCGTGCGCGGGAGTTGCTGGACAACATGTTGTTCGGTCGCACAGACCGACCATGGCGTGAGACGAGACGGGTGACGACGGCGAGTGTCGGTCGTCAGCCAGGATTGAGAGGGGTTTCCACGAGTGCGAGACGTCGAGATGTTGTAGCTGCAGGGTTTGGCGGTAAAGGGGGTGGCGGCGGTGGCAGTGGTGGCGACGGTGACGGCAGACGTGAGGGCGCAGGCGGTGCCACGGCGAGCGTAGTGGATCCGCCGCAAACGTACGGTTTGAGAGAGGCGTCGATTATTTTGGAGGAGCCTGATGTTGTTACACGACTGAGGCAGGCCCGACACGTGCCCTTAGATCGACGCCAGGAGGGGGAGACTTCAGGGACTGACGGTCTACCTATGGCACGCGAGTCACGCCGACGTGATGACCTAGCAGCAACAGCCATCAGGACGGTGAGAGGCAGGAGAGTCATTATGGATGACGATCCCGACGAGCTTCCCGTCGCTCCCAAGCCTTCCGCTGGCGGACGAGGCGGCCAGCGTCAGAGGGATCGAGGAGGTGGCAGGGGTCAGTCCCACGGAGGAGTTTCTCATCGGTCCGAGCGAGATCCGTGTGCGCACGACGATCGTTGATGGATTACGGACTTGCATTTTCGTGACTTCCTCAGTGTACTTTAGTTTTTTGTTATCCATGACAGACGTAGTGTCTCGTGAGGTTGTATTATAGTGTACTTTCCACTGGGTACTTTTTTGCACAGACGTAGTGTTTCGTGATGTTGTATTATAGTGTACTTTCCAGTAGGCACTTTTCTACAGTTTGCTACTTCGGAGATTGTTGCTTTCCAGTGTATTTTAGTGTGCTTTTTCGTCGGCATTTTCGGGTTGGTACTTCTTTCCACAGACTGGCGGGGCTTCGACACGATGTGTCAGATTTTTGCTATTATCCATGCTACATTGGTTTGCGTTTTGCTTCGATCATTACATCTTGGCATTTGCGATGTTTCTATTTTCAGACGACGAGTGTTTTTTTTGCTTCCAGGCCCCTCACAACCCAAACCCTCCCGTAGCCCCCCCTGCCCCCCCGGCCCCACCCCTGCGCCCGAACCCATGCCAAACCACCTTTTTTTTTTTTTCCCTTGCAACCCTTTTTTTAAAATTTCTCTAAACGCTTGTTTTGCGCTTTTAAATAATAAAAAAAAACAAAAAAGAAATTTTGGAAAAATAAAATAAAAGAAAGGTCGCAGTTTGTGTGTGTGTGTGTGAATGTGATTATGTGTGTGTGTATTTGTTTGTGTAAATGGGTGGCTCAGTTTGGGGGGTTGTGCGTGTTGGCGAAAAAAAAAGTGCCCGTGTGTGTGCGACGGTGTGAATTTGTGTGTGCATGTGCGCGTATGTGTGGGTGTGTCAATGTGTGTGTGTGTAAATGGGTGGCGTGGTTTGGGGGGTTGTAATTGTGGGCGGGGGGAAAAAAAAAAAAAAACGAAAAAAAAAAAAATGAAAAAAAAAAAAGGGACGAAACAAACAGAGAAAAGGCCAAGCAGCTTCTGTGCCTAGCGACTCAGATCACGCCGCGGTG